TACTTCTGTTTTACTTTGTTTAGATGTGTCTTTTCTGTTTTAGTGTCTGTTTGTCTCATAGGTCAGTTTATACCCCTGGAATTTACTGGGATTGCTGACATATCTGAGCTTGTCGCTTCCTCATTATGTTATGTCTTCCATTAAACATGCCTTTTATTAACTTATTTATTCTTGCTTCTCTTCCTGTCTTTGTTCATTTATTCATTTTTGGTTTGTTTGTTTTTACTGATAATAGTTTTTCTAGTCTTTCTGTTTCTCCTGCTATTTTGGAATCTTGAATTTTTAATCTATTCTTTTAGTGGTAACTGTTAATAAGGTTTTAACATTTGTATTTAACCCTGTATTTCTCTCCCCACTTGTAGTTATTAGTATTTCTGTCATGTTATTTAGCATGTGTTAACTATCCACCTACCTTCTTCTCTGAACATTCATCTTGTAATGTTGGTCTAGAATTTAATTCCATTCTTTTTAAACACAGAAATTAATGGTTTTCATTTTAATATTCTATAATATGTCAAAATTAATGATTATGTTTTATCACTAAGTATTCTGTTGTTTCTTCCAATGCTCACTTACCTTTGGGGTTCAGGCTAGGTCCTACTAAGTTTATATGTTCTAGTAACTGTTTTAGCTATGAGAAGTAAACACTTTATACATGTATCAGTTTATAGGGGCCTTAATTTTGACTTCCTAAGATTGTTATTTAAGATGACTATACAATTCCTGGCAGGCAGTTATTTTCCTCAACCTTGTAAAGATATTCGTTTATTGACTTTGGTTATAAATTGTTGCTGAATAATCTCAATTGTTATCTTAATTGGCATTCCTGTTAATTGATTTTATTTCTTGTAGGATTAAGTTTTCCTTTTCTTTTTAATTTTTATAGTTTTAATACAATTTATCTGGAGATGAATTTTTTTTGTTAAAAATCTATCTTTGCACTTGGTGGCATTTTCAGCTTAAATATTTTGTGGCTTGTTGCTTTTTTTCAGTTTTAAAAATGATTAGCTATTCATTCCTCTATATACTACTTCTGGGTCATTCCCTGATTGGTGCCTGTTAGTCTATTATTTATGTCTCTTAACTATTCTTAAATAATGTTCATCTCTCTTTCTTTATATTGTATTCTGTATATATTAACAGTGATTTTATTGGGAAGTTGGGAAAAGGGTGACCCTGATGCTTATACAGAGGATGTCATTTTACCTAAATATTTGCATCTCTTTTTTCAACTATTTTCTTGCAAAAATTTCCTTGATTCCTTTTGTAAAGGCCTTGGAAATCCAAATTAGTTCATTTAAACAGTACAGAAGTAACTATGCTAAACCTGGGACTTGAAAGAAGTCTAAGACACGGTCCCAAAGCTCAAGGTTTTGATAATTGAGAGTGGAATGATAACAACAAAAAGAGAATTTTAATAAAGTCTTTATGGTAAGCGCTATAAGAGTAATACACAGGATGATCTAAGGTTAAAGAAAAGGGAATTTTTTTCTATCTAGCAAGTCAGGAAGCTGGAAAAATATGATGCTTAAACTGGAACTTAAAGAATAACATTAGCAAGGGAGACATGACCGAAGAAAACACTCCTGCCTGCCATTTCTCCTCTCTCACAGCAGATGAACTGGGCTTTGACTTCACTGGAAAAGTAAGGTTTTTTCAAAGAGTGGTTGTATCTTCTATGGCCAAACAATGGACCAGTCTGTTCTAGGCACATCGTAAGATTGTCACCAACTATCCCATCTCTAAATGATCCCACCTTGCATTTTAACTAAAGTCAAGATATAATCTGCTGTTCAAATGTTGGTATTTTTGATCATAAGGGTCACTCGTTATTCAGGAAAAGCAGACATACCTAATTATTATAGCTGATCATTTTACGTATCTATCTTAACATATCACGTAGATGATAGCCCTTACAAGACGGAGCTTTTTAATTTTTTTCCTTCTTGTAGAATTTTTTAATTTACATTCATTTTGACCAATACATAATATTTGTATATATTTATGAGGTTCAATGTGATACTTTAATTCATGTATATACTGGATAGCAATAAGGGGTAATTAGAATATCTATTACCTTAAAATTTTATCCTGTCTTTATGGTTAGTGCCTTCAAATTTCTCTCTTCTAGCTACTTTGAGATACACAATGTATTATTGTAAATTATTTTCATTCTGCTGTGCCATAGAACACCAACACTTATTCCTTCTAGCAAAGAATAATATAGTGTCCAGTGATGGACTTCTCCCTCTCTCCTTTCCTCCAGTTTTACCTACTCTCTGGTAACTACTACTCTGTTTCCAGGTCTATGGAATCAATGTTTTTTAGATTCTGCTTACAAGTATGATAGTACACTGTTTTCTGTGCTTGACTTATTTTACTTTAACAGAATGAGCTTTACATTCATTCATGTTGTTCCAAATGAAAAGAGTTCATGCTTTTTATGGCTGAATAATATTCCATTGTGTAGATTCACAACCTTTATTTGCTTCTAATCCAACAGAGTGACAGCACCATGAAAAAGAGTAAATAAATACAAGATTAATAATAATAATGGCCACAGCAGTGATTCTAATAATTATTTTAAATAAGAGTATGCCATGGCGTCGATTTCTAGGCTCACCTAAGTCTAGATTCTAGTACTTTCTTTTCTATATCATCAGAGCCCTTGAGATAACAGGACCCCATATCCTTCATTTTGGTAGAATTCATGGATTTCCAGAAACATTAAAGAGGGGGCACTTTTTACCAACCTGTAATGTGTATGTATGTATGTGTGTGTGTGTGTGTGTGTGTGTATA